GGTGTGTGAAACATTACGGCTTGATATATCATTATTTGTCACGTACCTGATATTTGTAGGACTGAAAGATCTTGGACAGAGTACCCCGAAAAGTACAAACCAATTTTGCTCGCTTCGACAGGAACTCGCTGCCCTCCGATTCCGTTGTCGCCGAGCTGCATGTGTCACCCTCGCGCATAATCACGTGATGGCCGTGATGGTCGATCTTCGGCTTCTTTTTAAACACCGTCATCTTTCAGGAAGCTGTCATCTGCAAAAGCAAACTAGTGACTTGGCGCTTATCACTAATTTCAGTCAAATTAAGTTAATATCTCATAATATTTACGGTATTCCTTAGTTAACAACTCAAAAGCCATGGAGCGGTGGCTTGTGCAAAAGATTCTTGACGCAAGAAAAATAAAATATAGCGCAAAATTAAGAAATATATCCTAAACAATATACTCCTGATTGGGAACCCACTGTTTTTGTTTTATAAAAATTTATAAAGAGTATAGCAAGGATTGGTTATCGCCAGTAAAATATTTCCAAATGCACTCTAGATTGTAGCTTCCCAAAGGACCAAGCAGCTATGGCATATTTAAAATGCCCCTAAGACAACGAAAAACAAGGGCACATCGCAGCAAGCCGTCAAATTCGGATTCAATTTTAACAGAGATTAAAACACTACTTTTGTTGACTATGATTTCCGTTTTATCTTTGTTATGGACGTCCCACGAACCCAAGTTAACGCTACCCAATCTTCTTTTCTGCACGTCTTTCGACGAGTATCTGTTCAACAATTCGTTCGGGATTACAACCCTCATTAAATGTTACCGATGTCTCTTCAACTTTCATCTAATCCAGTGGATTCCAATGGATATATACCAGTGGGAGCTTAAAGTCGGAAAAAAATATATATATAATTCACAAGATTCACAAGAATATGAATTAAGAACGGTACTACGGATTTTAAGAATAATTACTCTCCTGTTTTCAGAATAATGAAGTTTTATGTCGTAGCGGAACTCAGAGAGAAGCAGGATGCTAACTCTGTGTGAATTAAATGGGTAGCCCTATGCAATGTTCGTTCAGGGAAGGAGACAGAACTGTTATCAACAATCCGCAAAATGGACTTATCCAAGATAGCATATTGCAATCCTCGGGATCTCACGACTGCCTTAATAAATCGCCGAAGGAATAATAAATCACAGTAAAGGTTCATAAATATACCCTGTAGAACAGAAGGGGCTCCAAGCAAGCATCACCATGTGATCAGACCATGTCAACACGTCATTAATGATCACATTAAGATGCCTGGCGTTTTGAACGGGATATTAGACTTGGTTACAGGAATTAAGTTTATCTACTTTAACAGCTTCTAAGCTTCTTTCGTCGTGGATATAAACATAAAAGCAACCTTCTGTGGTTATTCAGGACATCTATAGATAAAAATATAATGAGTAGAGTTCGACTGATCGAATGTCAGTCTTCGGTATATCTAACAAGTTATGTTAAGTTTATTGAAGTCTGATATTCTGATTCTAATGTTATGAATAAGCGCCGCGCATAGTCATGATAAGTTGTAATTTATGTTTGAACACCGCGTCAATTTTTTTGAACTGCTAAGTTTGGAATTTTATTATTACGTGTAATAAACGTATTTTCCTCACTACTCTACACTGGAACCCGTTCTACATAGCCTTCCATATTCGTTCGTAATAATAAGCCAATACTTAGCGTTCAGAACCGCAATATGCCATGATAACCTACCTCGGAGGAGCGATGCTTTATCCGGCACGCTTCGAAGTAAGAACGTACTTTAATATTCATACACCGGCATAAACGATCAACTGAAATATCGTTATTGAAGAGGGCCATATGGCTCCAGCAAAAACATTATGCGAGATGCTTCTGCTGCTGCAGGGCTCAAATCCCAAGGAGCCGTGGCCTGTTTAAGTGCCCCTCCTAAGTAACTATAAGCAAGGTGACGGGCGGTAAAGAAAGCCGTGAAATATAGTCTTGCAAAAATTATACATAATCCGTGTTCAGAGTGCAATTAACTTGTGAATAAATAGCGTCATTTACAAGATATTCAGTAATGAAACATGTGAACATCACAATACAGTCAAATTAGCTAGGGCTTTAACAGCCCTTAAGATGAGGCCAATCAAAATCTTTTGCATTCTTGGAAAAATCTTCGTACACGTATCTCTTGTTTTGAGCTGGGTCCTTAAACTCATCAACAGAAAATGCAGAATTCAAATGAAAATAAGAGCATTCATAAAAAACCGACTTCTGGGAGCAGAATATAGCAGACTACTTTCTCAAACTTCTAATTTTAAGCAACTGTTTTCACTTGCTAGTTAAAAGAATGATAGACAATACCTGGACACTGACCATGCATGGTAAAGTATTTTCCTTAATTTCAATGCGACGAAGATGGCTCAAATTAGATATCGTTTATTTTTAAGCATTTTACAACAGGTTAAACCAACAGACTATTTTTGATTGGTAATGATCTACGATTTTTCATGACTAACCGACGGTTCAAACATGATCAAAAATGTTTGGAATATAACTATATGAGAAATTAGATATTTACCAAAAATAAATCTTATCATCATGGGTTTGTTACCAAACTGAGTTTCAATACCACCAGTAAGAATAAGCATAAGAATACCGCCATAAGAATAGCAAAATCATGATAACAGTTAATTTCTGATATATATGCCTGCGGAATTAGGTACATTCGTTGGTCTTCGTACCTGCTTTTGTTCGACCCAACAGTGGCGCTGTTTTGCGCCCATGAACTGCAGGTACTAAAATATCACTAAACCGTTGCCTGCTTAAACGGTCTCCTAAGCTATTAGAAGCAAAAGGATGGTGCTTCGCACTGTAATTGCTAAGGATCAGCAAAAAGAAAATCAGACCTTTCTTCGGATTTTTCGAATTTTCAGCTAATCTTTCTACAGAATTTTCCATCATTTTATAAATGGTCTGCTTAGGCGACTAAAAACAAAACGGGAGTCGCACTTACGCGGATTAAATCCGGCATTATAATAGAATTGCTTTTTGTCAGCAATCGTTTTATTCGTTCTTTGGCAAAGAAGATACACCACCAACGCATCCTTGGCATTCCCCATGGTACAAAAGTAGAGTAAGGAATCGCAACAACGGCGACAGGAAAATTATTAGCCATGAAGACCTGCTGTGATTCTGAAACGGTCGGCAAAGCAGGCAGAAGTAGCCCGATTCAACACGATGTTTCTGAGGAAGCTTATGTCTAGAAGATCAAAACTTACATAAATTTCGAACCAAGACCGAAGGACCAGCGGTAACAGTCGGTGTGAATTCTCAACGAAGGTACAGCGAAATCGTTTCACCATGTAGTTCATTTTCTAGCTCGAAAGATCACAGTGTATGAGTAGAAAAACATCGGGAAATGGAGAGGACACCCTGAGACACGTAACATCTGCCAAAAATTACAATGTCATCATTCTTCTCAACGCTTTTCCTAGTATATGAAGTTCCGTCAGCAGTAGATACTTTGGCAATCGCACATTTCTGTTCAAAACGAAAAGCAAATCATCACCTAACCGAAAATCTCATCCATTAAATATTTATTCGATATTAAATTTAACGTTCTACTTAATGAATGAGATAGCAAAATGCGGTAATTCTTCACAGCACAAAACAGCTGTTTATTGCACCACCATCGTACGGTTTATCCAAACGACAATACATAACTTGGCACTATGATCAATAAGCTGCTCTTGTCTTCTTCATATGGATACAGACACAGGAACAAAACATTCCAGTATTAGTTTCTTAAATACATAAACGAATAACTAAATCCTATACGATCAACTAACAAAATTGCTAGCAGCTGAAGGAGCAATTAATACAGTACGTTAGGATATGCTCAGGTTTTGATCCTCAATGTCATACGCATATTCTATCTTCTACAGCTGCGGCTAAACGTTAGCGATTTGTAGTTGTGGTTTAAATGCACGTTTCATCGAATATGAGTAGATTCTTTGGTAGTACTTATGTTGTGCCATGGATTCTTGTCCAAAGCAACCTCGTAGTCTGGGTTTTACAGGCGCTAAGCAATGCTTTTCTACCGGTGCACCGTGCAGATGCTTTTAGAACGCTCACCGGAGCACCAAGATCTGCTGCAGATGCTGCTATTCGCGCGTCGCTCGTGGGATTCAGCCGATGGGACTCCCAGCATCTTTTGCACGTTGCTCTGTACGGCTACACGTTTGAGACCAATTTGCCTTTCTTTCCTTTTGTGCCCTGTTCAGTACGTATCATCGCCTTTTTCTTGCGCCCATTAATGACACCCATCTTAAGCGATTACACGATACTTTTGCTCATCTTTGTCATCATTAATCACGCAGCATTCGTTTTGGCTGGTTGTGCGCTGTACAGATTGACTGTAAACGTTTTTCGAGACGAGCAGCTCGCCCAGGTATCTGTCGTATTGTTCGCCATCAACCCGGCCAGTATCTTCTTCCGTTCTTGCTACACCGAATCCATGTACTCGTGTTTCACCTTTTTGGCACTTTGCTTTTTGACTCAGCCCGACAGGCCCTCTTTCCTAAGAGCGTCGTTGTTTTTTGCCTTAGCATCGTGTACCCGTTCAAACGGCCTTCTGAATATACTGTACGTCTCGTCCGCTTATGCACTAAACCTGCTCAAGCCCCTGTATTCATCTTCACGTCACACGTCAGTTCGTGGAATTTTGTGCTTTGTTTCAAGAGACTACGTTCAAGTATTACGCATTGTCCTAATGTACATTTGTTCTACGCTGGTGATCGTCATGGGACTACTAGCTTTTCAATTTTACGCATATCGCTTGTTTTGCTGTGACTGTACCGACTCCTCAAAAGAGATGATATCGACCGACATATTTGCTTTGGCTTTGGCCAAAAACTACACTTTGCCATGTGCAACGGAAAAGCCTAAGTGGTGCAGTTTTCGCCTTCCGTTTTCATATTCCTATGTACAGTCAGTACACTGGGACGTCGGTTTTTTAAAGTACTGGCGATGGAGAAAGATTCCTTTGTTCTTGCTTTCTTTGCCCATAATCATGCTCATTTATTTGACATTTAAATTGTTCTTTGTAGTAGCTGTTGATTCCTGGAAGAACTCGAACCGCATACTGTGCATGATGCTTATTCCTTCATTGTTGCACCTGCTTATTCTTGCAGTTGTCGGAATATTTTTCATAAATGTTGAAGTTACCACTAGGCTTATCTTTTCGTCATGTCCGGTTGTTTATTGGTTCTGTGCTTCATTGTTCTTTCAACAGAGAGTGAAAGTCGATTTGTTGCAAGGCAAACAGCGAAGTATTTTTGAGTGCCTGAAAAAGTTATGGGAATCAAACACTTGTGGCAGGATGGTTCTGCTTTATTACATTATTTACGGTTCCGTTGGTAGCGTCGTTCACTCCGCATTTTATCCTTGGACATAAGGTAAATGAACTAAACGTAAATGTTGATTGTGCCTGAAACGTTTCTCTACTGGAAGTTTAAAGAATGCAGTTGTAAACATGCGATAAATGCTTTTTCCTTGACTGTGGAAAGATGTACGTTGGAGGTTGATTCTGTCAGTGAAGTTCTTGGCGAATATTAAAGCCAATGAGATGCGCGTTTCTGCCGTAATCGGTCATTACCTTTACGCTCAAAGCTATTAATCATTTTAGATTGCGATTGCTTTTGTCGGTAATTCCAGAAATTTTGCAGTTAGCCAACAGTAGGCGAGGATGGGGCAGGATAGAAGGCGTCTCTTTGAAAAAAAAAATCTTGCCCATAAAGTTAAGGAAGTTCCACTGATCCGTGCAGCTAGCTGCATCCATCTCGGCACATGGACCGAAGACATCAAGTCGTTGTCTTGGACCAACGGCAAGTGCGGCAGCATCAGTCATATAGGTTGATCGGACCCTCTCGAAAACTGAAACCATGCAAAACTCATTGTAATTCTGAAGACGAACCGAGTTTTGTCCAAAACGTCTACAATATCTCTGTAGAATATTTATGCGTTGTGATTTTTCAAAACTCATTATCAGACGAAATGCTATTTCAACCTTATTAACGGCGTGTCGCTGTTCCTAGTATTTTTCGTTATTTGGTAAGATATAATTTTAGTTAAGGAGGTAGTAATGTGAAAAAAAGGTGTTGGAGTGACGTCCGGTTGATATAGACGGTCTTACGGTTGATATAGACGGTCTCTCGTATAGACATCGCGTAGAGACGACGGTAAATTCTTGTCGTGGACTTTCAGATGGTGGGTACATGGATCAGTGGTCGGCAAATGATATTGTAGCAGATCGTGAATGTTTTGCAGAAAATTATTTTCTATGCTGAGTTATGGCGTATAATGATAAATGGCGTAACTCGATCCTGGCAGGTTTGCGTGTAACGTCTCCGCATGAGGTATGACATGACTGATCCGTGGGAGTTCTTTGCGCGTCATTCTTTTGGTACTGAATGGCCTAGTCGGTCGTGAGAGAAAGTTGGATATCACTGTTAGCTGAAATGCATAGGACGAACATGATATATCACAGTCCTTCGTCTCTGGGTGGCTAATAACACTGCTATGCCATGGCAGTTCTTGACGTATAAAATTTCGCATGATGGATGGCAGTGGCCGGCCATGACAGCGGTACACGTGAAATATGGTCTTGAGTGCATGCTGATTGACCCTAGCATCCAAAAAATTTTATAAAATAAATTGCCAGAAGTTGTGTGGATATAGTGATATTGATGTTTACATTATTCGTCTGTGAAGGAAGTTTTTTCCGGACTGTGACTCAAAATGGCAACTGGTCTTCAGCACGCTGGTAATCAGACCTTCACCGCATACTGCCATATTATTTACTGAACGGGA